TTTTGGTCAAAAATGACCAAAGAGACCCAGAGGGTTACACCCAGCATTTCTCAGTGAGAAAAAAAGTCGGGCCCCATATTGCAAAAAAAAAAAATATATATATATATACATACTGAACAAAATTATAAACGCAACACTTTTGTTTTTGCCCCCATTTTTCATGAGCTGAACTCAAAGATCTAAGACATTTTCTAAGTACACAAAAGGCCTATTTCTCTCAAATATTGTTCACAAATCTGTCTAAATCAAGCTGTTGCGGGCATGTGAGTAAATGCATCTAGCTTGGCTTCCATTTGATCGGCTCATTTGTGCTTTATTGTTTCTTTTGCTTTGTTGCAGCTGCCCAGAGAGCAATATAACAACATAAAAACTAAAACCACTCTGTTTAATTTGATTTTGAAGATGATATGAATCAAACAAGGGCTTCACGCACCAACACCTTGACTGTTTGTAACTAAACCCTTAAACTCAGGTATTTGGCACAGACGTGGGCTGATGTCCTCAGCTGTGTTTGTATATCTTGTTCTGTGATTGTTGACTGGTTCTGTTCACGCCACACCATGATCCACCGCAGATCTTGAACCCTGTGGTAGGCATCAACTCTAATGAACTTTAAAGTAAACTAATCTAGACACTTCTGTGCAAAAGTACATTTTTATTCTAACTTTCTTTAAAACTACAAACCTAAATGAGAGGATCGTGACACTTTAAATCACTGCACTCGATCCTGCTGTCATGCCTTCACTGTCGGCGTGCATGTTGCGGCTTCTTCTGTCTTCAAGCAATGATCATATTTATTAGGTAAGTGCACACGAACGTCACCACAATGTCATAGTCACCACTGGGAAGCTGGAGTTTCTTTGATTTTTTTTCTTGGCATTGGTAGTTGTAAACGTTGAGTCTACAATTTATTTTGTGCGCATTTTGTGTAGTGTCGATGAAGAACAGTGAAAATCTTCAGCTTCACTCTATTTGTGAACTATGACAATGTTGACTGAATGACATTTAAAAATAAATGTGTTCCCTCATAATATAAATGTATTTGAGAAAATTGTTTACTGTTTATAATCATTTCAGAGCTTATTCTTCTTTGTTTTTCTAACACATCAAATCTATTTAGTTGTCTTTAGGATCTTTTTATTGGAAAACAAAAAAATTCTTACTGTTTATTATTTTTTGCAGTATTAAAAATATCATACATTAGGGTGACATTCAGTTTCCATGACATTTATGATTTGATGTTGATTTGTTGTACAGAAGTTTTTTGTAATTTAAACTGAATACACAAAATAAATATATTTTAGTATTTTGTAATTAAATAAATGAGCAACATTGATCATGTGACTTTGTACAGTCAGATGTTCTTGCTTCCATTGAAGCTCAAGATACTCATCCAAAAACATGCTGCATGATCATCAGGTTTTATTGAGTTGTCATTAAAGGAATAGATCACACAAAATTGAAAATTTACTCACCCTCAGGTTTTCCACGATGTTGAAGAGTTTGTTTCTCCATCAGAACAGTTTTGGTGAAATGTAGCATCACATCACTTGCTCACCAGTGGATCCTCTGCAGTGAATGGGTGCCGTCAGAATGAGAATCCAAACAGCTGATAAAAACATCACAATAATCCACAAGTATTCCACACCACTCCAGTCCATCAGTTAAATGTTGCCATTGCTTGCAGCTAAAATATGAATACGCGAGTCATAAAAGCAATATTGCTTTCTACATTGAGAAAGTTATCTAGTCTGAATCTGAGAAATATGCTCAGTTCAAGCACCATTTAGAAGACAAAACCGTTCAAAATAAACATGTAGGACTTTTTCCACTGGAAGAATCGTTATTATAGCTCATACTGACTGGTATTTTGGCAAGAAGCAACAATTTGAAGTTAAGATTTAGTTTTTATCAGCTGTTTGGACTCTCATTCTGACGGCACCCATTCACTGCAGAGCATCCATTGGTGAGCAAGTGATGGAATGCTACATTTCTCCAAATCTGTTCCCATGAAGAAACAAAGTCTTCTACCAAATATGAATATGCATTTTTTGAAATTCATGTACGATTTTTTCCTTTATTAAAAATTGTGGATATTATAATTTGTAAGGAAAAAAAAAACTTTTTCTCAGATGTTTCTAAAAATCTAGAACAAACACATCAGGTCTTGTGAAAGCGTTTCCCCATAATGCCATATTAGAGTGGGTGAAACAACACAAATGATTTTGAGCAGTATTTGTCCATGTCCCATTTCGAGTAAAACCTTCCCAGGTGTCCCCTGCAACAGTCCCAGATGTCCCTGGGGTTTTTCCATCGCTTTCCACAAATTGTAATGTAATCAATAGTAATGCCTTCAGTCCTCGAGCGTCATGTCATTGAATGAAAAATCTGTACTGGCTCTCCGGGGTTGCTATAGATCTCTCGGGATGGGCTGTGATCAGACGCAGCCATCTGAGAGAGATCTATTGGGTAATAACACCAGAGACTCTCATCGCAATCATTATTACGATTGCTGTTACGCAAGCTCATGAGCAAGAGCCAAGTGTGATTCATCTAATGGCTGGAAGGTAAACAGTGGTAGAGAGTGTATATCATCTCTTTCAGGTGTCGTTACTGTGTACTTTAGAGTCCAGAGAGCGCCAGAGGGCCGTGATTTAATGATCTTTCACATACACGACAGACGCTGCTTTCACTGACTCTTTGTTGGTCTTACCTGAATGCTTTCTTATGCTGAAAGGACACAAATTGATCTGATGAAGTCTAGATAACTAGATTTAGTTTAATAGAATATCTTTAAATCCAATGTAACTGGTATCTCATAAAGCCTTTCTGCAAATTCTTGATTATTTATACCCTTCAAAAGTCTGGTGTCAGTAAGTTTTTTTTTTTTTTTATTCAGCAAGGATGCATTCAATTATGGAAGCTCGTTTCCATAGATTTAAAAAAAAAAAAAAAAAAGTAAAAGCAACTTTTTCATCTCACAATTCAGTCTTTTTCTCGCAATTATGAGTTATCACACAAATCTGATTCAGCTTTTCTTTTTTTTCTTTACAATTTTGACAATATTGTGAGATAAGCCTCATTTATCTAATATATCGATTACCTAATTTTCTTTTTATTCTGTGATGAAAAAAAAAACAGAACTGCAAGATCTAAAAAAAAAATTCTCATTATTGCGAGAAAAAAAAGTCAAAATTCTGAGTCTATATTTTGCTATTCTTACTATTTCACAGAATTTTTATATATATATATATATATATATATATATATATATCTTACAATTCTAAGAAAGAATTGTCAAAATATTTGGTAAGACTTTACAATAAGGTTCATTAGTTAACATGAACTAAGCATGAACAATACTTCTACAGCATTTATTGATCTTAATTTCAACATTTACTAATAGATTATTAAAATCAAAAGTTGTATTTGTTAACATTAGTTAATGCGCTGCGATCTAACATGAACTAGCAATGAATAACTCTATTTTCAGTTCCCAGTTTGTATTTATTCTGTGGTGGAAATATATATGTAGAATATATATTCATCAAAAGATTCCTGAAAAAATTTATAAAAGTTATAAATTTTTCCTGTAAAAATGTATGTTTACACAAAAATATTAAGCAGCACAACTGTTTTCAACATTGATAATAATCAGAAATGTTTCTTGAGCATCAATTCAGCATATTAGAATGATTTCTGAAGATCATGTGACACTGAAAACTGGAGTAATGATACTCTAAATTCAGATTTGATCACAGCAATAAATTACATTTTAACAGATATCCACATTGCCATTTTAAATCGTAATATTTTACTGTTTTTACTTTATTTTTAATCAAATCAATGGAAAGCAGAATATACTTCTTTCAAAAGCATTTAAATACCTTACTGACCCCAAACTTACACACACACACACACACACATACATACATACATATATGCACACCATTTTGAGTACCATAACAAACTAGAAACAGTTCATTTAATTAACATTTTATTTCAGAGCACTGGGTCTTAACAGAGTTAAACAATATTCTCTTAGAAACTATCATCCACTCCTTACGGGTATAAATGGTTAACTATAATTATAAATACACAATAACAGCACTGAAATGTATAAACAAACTTTTTAGGTCCAGTTTAATCTCTGGTCATGTGTAAAATCCAATGGAAGTGGTTCACAGGGTCCAACAGTAGACTGGCACAGTGAGAATGTACTAAGAACCAACTAAATGAGCCGGAAACAAACACTCACAAACTAGAAGCAACTAGAAGAAGTTGGTTAAAAAAGGCAATGTAAGACAACTTCAGCAACAAGGCAGAATCATATCTGAACAGTAGCCATTCACACATGGACTACTTTGTTTCCAGGAATGCTTGAGAAGCTTTAATCACAACACTTGACGTACAGTATTCAGTCCGCTCTCAAAGACCATGTGCACACTGCAGGGAAATCACTCGTTCACTTTTTCACTCATAAATTACTTCAAAATTATTACAAAGACATGGCAAGTAGCACATTGAATTTAATGTGAAGTTTAAAGGTAGAAAGCCTAAAATTATATATATATATATATTGAAATAAAACATCAAGTTGGTTAAACCAATGGTTCTCAGCATTGGCAAAGCTTGCAAGGTTACTTTTAAAAATTTCAATTGTAATTAATTTTACATTTCTGGACCTGGTAAAGTCATGTAAATGAATGCAATCTTAAAACACTTGGGGAATTTTGATAATGAGTATATTTTTATGGCATTGCCATCCTTATCCTTAATCCTTCAAATTAAGAGGGGCCTTCAAATGATTTTAATGTGAGTTCATTTTAAATATCCGGACCTGGAAAAGTCATGTAAATTAATGCAATCTTAAAAGATTTATGGCATTTTTATAATTATATATATATATATATATATATTAGGCATGCTGTACTCCAAAATATTTTCTGAGTAAAAATTGTAAAACATTTTTTTTTTTTTTTTTTAATCTTTATCCTCAATACGTCACATTAAGGGGGCTTTCAAATGAGTTAAATTGTAATTAATTTTAATTGCTAGATCCGGACAAGTCATGTAAATCAATGCAATCTTAAAACATTTAGGGCATTTTTAGGGCATTTTTATAAAAATGAATATATATTATACACATACCTTAATCCTTCAAATTAAGGGGACATTTAAATATTGTAGACAATCTGGGGCCTTGGAGTCAAAAAGGTTGAGAACCACTGGGTTAAACTGTTGGCTTTCATCTTTCTTTTTTAGAGACACGTTATGCAAAATGTTCAGTCCTGTATTCTGTACACACACAGAATGACAATTTAAGGAATTTTCATTTGTAAGTTGCTTTAGATAAAACCATCTGCTAAATGACTAAATGTAAATTAAATTAAACTTTGCAATGTTCACATTTGCTAAAGAGTAGCCCAGAGACTCTCACCTATTCAAATGTACAGTAGCTGCTGGTAATGTCTGAAACTAGATTCTCTCTCGAACCACATCCTCAAAATCCTCCTGCATTTATACAAATCATTTTTAAAAAGCCCATAAAGGGCCGGGGCCGTCTCATAAGATCCACATCTCAAGTTCTGTACAAGCAAATAAAATAAGAGCTCTTTAAAACATCCATTTCTCATAACAAAATAATCTGATCCATTAAAAGTTCACATAGCAAAAAAGGTAACAGATCTCCATATTTATATATTTATACTGTATATACACACACATACTATTTTAGCAGACAGAACGCAAAGTAGTTCTTTATTGTAAACAGCTTTCTGCTTTCCTCGAACACATTCGCACACGACATCTCGTTACATTCGTGGCTTCAGTTCTAATTCCTCCTAATACTCAAAAGTTTGTGCTTGTAGAAAGACCTGAAGCGAAGTTCAGCCTCGTCGACACCCACCTGACCCCGGATACCGACAGCACTGAGGAGAAATGGGAAGCAGAGGAGGCCTTGGCTTCACTCGCTTTGTTTGGTTCTGAAGCGTCCTGCGGGCGAGAAGTGCTGAGATCTTTTGAAATGTTTTTGGCCACCCGCGGCTCGCGGTACACGCCGACCCTGGGAGAGGATTTATGGGATTTGGCGGGACGCTTGGGCACCCTCAGTTCTCCTCATCTGTGATGTCGTTCTCCCCGACCGCCTTCTCTGGGATGGCCTTCTCCGGGATGGCCTCCAGGCTGCGGCGGCCCCTGGACTCGGACCCCGAAGAGGGTCCCGCTCCTCCCTTGGCCAGGTTACAGGTGAGGGCGGCGTAGTGGATCTGTTTCAGGTTTTCCAGCACTTCTGCCCGAGCGTGTTTCAGCAGATCAGCCTGGCCCTAAAAACACACAGACACACAAGTAGAGACAAGGGGTCTCACTCACTAATAACTGGATACAAGTATTCTTGCAGAAAATATTCTCATATTCATGCATAGACTTGTTCTTTGCCCTGTTGGAACTTACATACAATCAGCTGTATTTTTAAGTGGAATCTAACGCAGATCATGCTGTAATGCCCATTCTAGGGTCATAAGGATTGGCTGTTTAAAATAAATGTTTAATGGTATATTATTTATATATA